AATGCCTGTACCTGTTTCACTGCTACTCAATAACCACATTAGCTAGAACTTTGGTCTTACCTGACCCTATAACACTTGAAGTTTGACAGGTAATCCTGGTCCCTGTACTCTCTGAGGACAGATGGTCCATCCTTTCTCCAGTGAAGAGCCTACCACATTCTCCATTGTTGATAGAGATGCAGAGGTTAACATTAAATCCTCAATGTAATGATAAATTAAATCACTATAGGTGTATGCCCCATTTAGCCAGCTCCTGAGCTGTTAAGTCATGACTAGAGGTAGGATTATGCAGATACCCTTCTGGAAGGATCCCAGAAGTCCATAGCCCACATTCCTACAAAATAACACTAATTACAAAATTGCATTATAGTTTAGAGCACCATGTACTAGCCCCTTTCCTTGATCTTCCACAGTATACACTGGCCACCACTGATTACAACACGTAAAATTGCAATGTTTCTGTACTGAATATGGAACAGCTACTCACCACCTGCCAAAACACTTCAAGGGGAATGCCCTGGAGAAATTCTCCTGTGTATACTGCAGCCTAGCTTACAATGTCCTCCTTCCATCAGTAAGAAACTAGATGAAATTCAGTCTGACTGTCCTTGTTAGTTCTGGTTTCTGGCCATCTTTGAAGAGAGACATTCCATCCTGGGAGGATGTTTCTTTTGGCCTCCCCCCCAATTCTTCAAAAATTATGATACATCTCAATATATATTGTAATTATTATCACTTCAGATAACACAAGGAGAAATTTGATTTGAGAACCAAAACAACAGACGGCATATAGTTGCTCTGTTTCATTAAACTCTGCTAAGTTAGCCAATAGGCACACTACTGACACTGCTCATCTTCTCAGAACCTAGGGGTGTTTCTGTATTTATTAAAACAAAAACAAGAAACCCTGGCCATCTGTGTAACATCTACCAATCCTGAAGAGAGTACACAGAAGCAAATTAATATCAGTTTAACGCGAGAGCTTCTCCCATTCCTCAAAGAAATGCTCGGCACCAAAATATGACAGCTGCCATATTTGAGAGGTGGGGACCAGTCCTGCAAGTCCCTGCACTCCATCTCAAGCTTGTGCCTGCCACAACCAAGTCAGTCAGCATGGCTTACCAGAGCCTTTCAGTAGCCATGTGAACAGAAGCCTGATGCTCAGCCATCAGCAATCCAAGAACACCAGCAAGAACAGTCCAGGTGCTGGCCTTGAAGGCTGGCAGTGGCCCAGTACATGATGCATGTCTGGATCCAAGTGCTCAGGTGGACACCAGAGATGCTGACAGAATGTTGAATTTATGTTCCTTGATAGCAGAGCAGGGTATCAGTATCAACTCAGAGGAAAAGAGGATTATCCTCTTGTATCCCACAGATCTAGACCTTTCTTTTTGGGGATAGGCAAGGCACAAGCTTGTCCAGGAGGAACCTGTTAAAGACCCTCTGTCTGCATTAGCACTTGCAGGTGGAAAACAGTCTTCTCTCTTGCCTGTCACTATGCCGAATGACTTCCTGACTCCTGGAAGTTCTTTTACCTGAAATGATGTTGTAGTAATGTAGGGACTGATTTTTTCTCTTGGGCAAATGGTTATAAGTTAATGCTAAGGGCTTCAAGGGGAGATTCAGGTTGGATTTAGGAAAAATTTATTCTCTGAAAGAGTGGTCAATCATTGGAATGGGCTGCCCAGGGAATTGGTGTATTCACAATCCCAGGAGATGTTCAAGAAACATAGAGATGTGGTACTGAAGGATATGGTTAGTGGGCATGGTGGGAAATGACTGACAGACTAGGTCATCTTAGAGGTCTTTTCCAACCTTAATGATTCTATGATTTTAGTATTTTGCTATCTCTCTCATTTAGGGTGCAATTTACTGTAATTTCAATTTGAATTAATGTTTTGCCATTCTGTAGGGCTTAGATGGGGATGTTCTGGAAATGCCTGTATGCTCAAACTTTGGATAAGCTAGGACAGAATTAGCAGAGGAATTAAGGAAATGGGGAAAAAAAAAGAAGATATTTTTTATAAGATTGGAAGGATATAAATAGGTAATTATGACCAAGTGTATAAGGAATTTAATATGAAGTATCTCAATGAAATGATGTGAAATTTTAAGAGAAAAAAATAGGCAAAGGATTTTCAAGAAATTATATCATCTAAAGCCAAGGAAATTGTTGGGCAGTACTCTAGAAAGATGACTCATGACAACGGCAGTACGAAAAGCAAACCCAGCTAAGAGAGACTGATTGTCACTGTCTTGTCTACTTCAATTCTTGCCATGCAGATGTCAGCAACAGTTTGAATATAAAATATTTGCTTTTTAAAGAGACGGAGATTTTTATCATCGTTATACTGTGAAGACATCAAATGGTGTAAGACAGTCTTTTATATTTGGAAAAATTGGGTCTAATCAGAGAGTGTCTAGCCAAAATCAACACATACAAATCCATGGACCACAAAGTTGATGTACCCATACATGCTGAGGGAGCTAGTAGAAATGATTGTCAAACCACTCTTTATCATTTTTTGAGAGGTTTTGGAGAACAGGAGAGGTGCCTGGAGATTGGAAGATAACCAGAGTCACTACAGTCTTCAGCAAGGCTTTTTACACTGTCTCCTGGAACATCCTTGTAATGAGGCTTAGAAAGTTTGGGATAGATGAGTGGGCACTGAGATGGTTTGTGATCAGCAGCACAAAGTGTAGCTGGAGGTCTGCAGCTAGCAGAGTTCCCTAGGAATCTTGTTCAGTGTCTTAATCAACGACCTAGGTCAAGGAATAGAACACACTCTCAGCAAGTTTGCTGGTGATATGAAGCTGAGAGGAGTGACTGACACACCAGAAGGCTTTGCTACCATTCGGCAAGACTGGACAGGCTGGAGAGTTGGGCACAGAGGTACCAGACGACATCAACAACAGAAAGTGTAAAGTCTTGCATTTGGGGAGGAATAACTGCATGCACCAGTACAGGCTGGGGGCTAATCTGCAGAAAAGGAGCTCTGCAGAGGAGGGCCTGGGTGGACAACATGTTGACTACAAGCCAGCAGTGTGCCACTGTGGCCAAGAAGACCAATATTGTCTTGGAGTGCATTTAAAGAGCAAGGCCAGCAGGTGGAGGGAGGTGATCCTGCCCTCTAGTCTGCCCTGGTGAGGCAACATTTGGCATACTGTGTCTTTTTCTATTTCTGGGCTCTATAGTTCATTAAAGAGAGGGAACAGCTGGAGAGAGTCCAGCAGAAAGCCACAAAGGTGATTATTAGGTGTCTGATGTGTTTCCCTTGTGAGGAAAGGCTGAGAAATGGGGCTGTTCAGCCTGGAGAAGATGGAAAGGGGATCTTCTCAACACTTACAAATATCTGAAGGGTGGATGTCAAGTGGATGGGGCCAGGCATTTGTCAGTGGTGCGCTGCAACAAGTCAACGGGCAATGGGCACAAACTGGAGCACAGGAGTTCCCATTTGAACTTGAGAAAAAACCTTTCTACTGTGAGAGTATCAGCACTGGAACAAGCTGCCCAGAAAGGCTGCAGTCTCCTTCTCTGGAGATATTCAAGACCCGTCTGGATTCCTATCTGTGTAAACTGCTTTAGCAAGGTTATTGGACTTCATGATCTATGAATATCCCTTTCTACGCCTACAATTCTGTGATTCTATAATTAATTAGGTATGGTCAAATCTCTTGGCTATCTTCCATGATTTCATCTTAGTCATTAAATAAATAAATAAATATATAGAAAAAAGAAAAATAAAGCGATAGTGAAAATGAAAGATATAAAGCAGAGAAACAAATTATTTCCAGCAGAGTGAGATATTTACATGTCTGTGGTCACGACTGTAATTCTGCTTCTGTAGCATCATATAGCAGAACTGCTATCTACATCTCAAGATAAATTTTGATTTTCACCTCTAAGATGGAGAAAATGGATTAAGTGTATAAGAACAGAAAATCTTGTCATTATACAGCAGATTGTGAGAAATTGTCTCTGACTTCTCAGATGGTCTAAGACCAGGTGGCAAATAGACTTGATGGCAAGAGGGAGATAGGGTAGAAGTGTCACATAAAGCCATCTTTTTAGCTTGTTCTCTACTTCAGCTTGTATTCCACTCAAAACTAAAGAATTATAAAAGCTTTCCAGCATAAGTAGGCACAATTCTTTAATTACTAAAAGAAAACGACATGAAACTTAATGTTACCCGATGCTTTGCATCCAGAGATTGCTGAAAGTGTTTTTATGATTGTTGAAAGGTGAACAAGGCTCAGATGATTACCTTTAAAAGTCAGAGCTGTAATAAGACTAATAACATGTCATAGAGGAGCCTAATGATTAAAGTGGTAAAACACTCATTTTAGGTAGGTAGTATCATACTGAAGCAGATATTGGAAGTTGAGGTTAGAAGATAACAGTGGAGACAGAGCTCATTTTTATGGGTATGTGATCTGTGGAGTCATAGCTCTTCTTCAAAATTCTGAGAAAAACAAAACAAAGCGAGCAACAAGTGCGTTGTTGCACTGTTTGACTTCAGGCTGCTGTCCATCCATATCACTCCTGCAAGTAAAGTGTAACAGCCTGATAAAATAATGAAAAGGAAACGTGATGCTTCTGAAGCATGATAAGGAATAGGAACCAACTCTCCCACCTTTCATTCGTATTGACATTCTCCAAACTGTGTACTTGAATTTGCTTTCTGAGAGACAGCTTTATAGCAACTTGAACCACTGTGACTTCAACATCTCGTTTCTGAGCCATAAGTTCATCCTGACTGGTACAGGCTATGGTGAAATAACACTGAGCAGAACGACTGAAAAAATAAAATAATACCTTTCACACAGTCAGTGGTCAAAACCCTCTGGTTTTGGAAGGTTATATTGGTTAATATGCATTGACAGGAAGCAGCATTTTGCAGATCACTCAAATAGCTGGAAACAAATGGCTGATGTTTGGGCAAATGAAGAAACAGACTTCACATGTGGCAGAATAATTATGGAGAAAAAAAAAAAAAAAAGGAAGACTATGGAAAAGTGGGAAAAAAAGCAATAAAAACAGAATGTCAGGATAGCTGAGATTAGGAAAGTCATGCATCATTAAGGATTTGCTGTTTCAAAAGAGCACTTTTGATTTTCTTGCATCATTTGTCTCAACTTCCACAAACACAGATTTTCACGGCCCAGCAAACATTGGTAAAGCTCAATAGAACTCCAGGATTCTAAGCCTACGCTAAGAAAAGGTGCAAACCGTGGCTATGCTGTGCTTGCCTGTGCTGGCTGTGTGGCTGGGAATGGCTATGCTGCAGGAAAGCCCTCCCTGCATTGCAGTGCCCTGCTGCTGCCCTCCCTGAGGGCACTCCTTGGCTGCCATCCCCTGTTGTGCTGCCCTGCCTTCCCTCTCAGTGCTTGTCCAGAGCTTGCATGCTCCAGGCGAGTACTTCTGATGGTTATGTTAATAAAGGCACAATTAATGGAAGAGCTCTTTGAAATGAATAATCGTATCTAAGATTCTTCTTACACTTACTTCTGATAATGCAGAGCATTGTCTTACACAGGCCTTTTCAGCAGAGGCTTTCTGTTGTAGTTAATTTCACAAATTCACCTTCTTACAATACAACATCTTCAGGTCCCATTCATTTAATTCTGTACTTGCTGACAGACTCTTGGGTCCTCATTTCATCATTGCTCTTCAGAAACACAATTGACTTAAGTACTACTCTATATTTCAGGCCATTTAATTGCAGCAGATTGAGCTCTTCTGAAGGTGATAGTTCTGCAAATTCAGAAAAATTGCATTCAAACCTAACTTCCTCTCACATTTCAAGGCCTTCTGTAAAAACTTCTTCCATTTTCCACAGTATTCATTTTGTTTCCGAACACAGATTTCTTTTCCCTGTGTTCCAGTTACAGTTTTCAACTTCCCATTTTTTTTCTCCTACTTTGCCTCTTCTTGCAAACTGCTCCACTAATTTCAGTCCATTATAAGCACACTTTTCTTCTTTCCTCCCCAGTTCAACCTTGCTCAGTAGTGATTCCTCTTAAAGATCATCATCTGGGGGAGATACATTGCTCTGTACCCTCTGGGTGCTGCTTCTCTTCTTACTCAGAGCACTGATGACTGCAGTGAAGTTCCCACTCTCTTTCAATCAGCAAAATTTTGCATGGAGGAAAGCTCCAAATATCAGCCATCAGAAAAGCATAAGGAGAGCAAGCTAGCCGAGTACAAGGCCTGAGAGTGCCTATGACAGTGGCTCAGGAGAGGGCTGACAGCTCAGGGGAGCTGTTGCCACATGTTTCCGTGGCTGTGGGATACTGGCTGTCCCTCAAGAAGGGCAGTAGCCCCTTTAGCTTCTATCTTCAAGGACAACTTTCCCAAAATCCAACAGTGCACTGCAGAGTGAAAAGTGAAATGGTAAAGCAGCAGAAGCTTTGTGTGTGAAGAACTGAAAAACAAGTTATTTTGCTGTGAAAAATGGTGTGAAATTTACCTTCTTCTACCATTGCTCCTGACTTACCCCATTTTTGGTTGCAGACCTCCTCCTCCAAGCTCCTCATGCTGAGTCAAAATAAACAGTACAAAATACAAAAGATGGGTCCAAATTTTGGCAACAACTGCAATCTGTGGATCAGAAAAGTAGCAAAGAGCATCACAAAGGATATGTGCGTGAGAGGTAATGCAATAACAGCAATGGCAAGCTAGCAAGAACAATTTATTTGGTCCTATCATGTCTTCCTATCCCTTTGTATGCTATTTCAGAGCTTTATGTTTGCTATCAGATTTTTATCCTTTCCAATATTTACTAGCAGTTACATTGTTTTTTCCTTCTGGATTGGTGATAGGGAGAGGAATGCTTTCGGGCAGATATCATGCCTAGCAAGCCAGTCTGCATGAAGCTAGGCTTATCCCTCTATGTACAAGATCTGAGGCATACATCAGGAGGGCCTTGGGGCACTGTGACTCACACAGCATGCTTTTACAATTCTATTGCCTTAGAAGAACTGTGGTTAAAGTAGGAAATTCCCAGTACCACTAGGGAGCCAAATTGCAAATTACTTCTGAAAGGTAGGTCATCTTTGACTCTTTTCTCAAATCATACTCCCAGCTGTTTCCTACCCTCTGCTGGCAGCCCTTGCCATCTTGCGTACTTCTGCCCCTTCCTCTCTGCCTTTACAGCTTGTAATCACAGTCAGTATAATCTCTCCTTCAGTATGCAGTAAAAAAAAATACACCACAGATTAAGGTGAGCTAGCTTCTTTCTCTTGCAACCAGTAATATTATCAACAATATAATCAATGCGTCTGAAAGGGTTACTGAAGTTAGCATGTTTCAAAAGCCCTGGCAGAACAATAAATCAAAGCACAGCACTGTTGGGCAATTAGCAAAGGTGCCAAGCTAACTTGCTAAGCAGTCTTCAGCATCAGACATAACTGACATAGGAAAAAAAAAAAACCAGAAAGAAATGCTAATTAATAATTACAGAGGTCTGCTGGGATCCAAAATCGGGAAGGACATTCTGCAGCAGAAGCGGGGGAGAACTAATGGTTTCATTACAGAACCTGATGTTTACTCAGGCAACTGAATCCAAGAACAATACCTAAGAATAGAAGAGCAATGGAAGCTGTTCTATCTGTATCTGTATTTATGTATTTGTTTTTTTGTTTTTTTTTTTTTTAAATGAATAATAGATGTTATCATTCTATAAATATATGTACCAAGCAGCAGTGAGTACTAGAACACTGACTGGCTCAGTAACTGTATCTCCAGCTTCTTGGGCTGATGATCAGAAATGCTGAGCACAGCTCCTGTTGATGCCTCATGAATTTGCATGGGCTTGGCTTAAGTTAAAAAGGAAAAAAAAAAAAACAACCAGAATAATTCATATTGTCTTATCACAGTCTCCAAAATGATTGCTATAAACATGCGATTTTGTATAATAAAATAAAAGCTGTATTAACATAAACCAGTAATTTTTGTGTTTCTTTTGCTATGGAGTCTGGGCTAAATTGTAAAGAGATTTAGCAGATGTGCAAGTGAAAATATAGAGAAGTACACAAGAGTTTCATTGGGGAATACTAGACAGACTACCCTCTGCTTGCTAATTTACACGTGAGAGTGGCAGACTGGCAAACATGGTATTATATATGCTGACTTCAGTGGGGCACACAACTTTACCAAAATGGAATCAGTATGGCAACAACTAAGGTGATCACACATCTGTGGTCTCCAGCTTCTTTGGAGCATCCTGGGCAAGCTTTGTTCATTTCATGGGAAATATGCCCCATGTAGGTTGTGGTAGACAAATATGGGGAACAATCATTCAACTTTTATAAATATATCAATGGCAAAAGAAGAACCAAGGATAACTGTCATCCTTTACTTGATGCAGCAGGGAATGTGGCCACTGAGGCCAAGGAGAAGGCTGAGGTCCTCAATGCCTTCTTCACATCTGCCTTTAATAGCCAGACCAGTTATCCTCTGGACATTTTATGCCCTGATCTGGAAGTCTGGGACGCTACTCAGAAAGCACCCCCAGCGATTCAGGTGGAGGCAGTCAGAGAACTCCTCCTCCATCTGGACTGTCACAAATCCATGGGACCGGATGGCCTACACCGTCGGGTGCTGAGGGAGCTGGCGGGGGTGATTGCTGAGCCGCTCTCGGCCATCTGTCAGTGCTCCTGGTTAACTGGAGAGGTCCCAGAGGATTGGAGGCTTGCTGATGTGACTCCCATCTTCAAGAAGGGCAGTAAGGAGGATCCAGGGAACTACAGGCCTGTCAGCCTGACCTCGGTACTGGGGAAAGTAATGGAGCAAATCATCTTGGGAGAAATTGCATGGCATGTGCGTGGTGTCCAGGGGATCAGGCACAGCCAGCACGGGTTCATGAAAGGCAGGTCGTGCTCGACCAACCTCATCTCCTTCTATGACTGGGTGACCAGACTGGTAGATGAGGGAAAGGCTGTTGATGTAGTCTACCTAGACTTCAGCAAAGCCTTTGACACGGTCTCTCACAGGCTTCTTCTGGGGAAACTAGCTGCCTGTGGCCTGGACAGGTATACTCTTCTTTGGGTAAGAAACTGGCTAGAGGGCCGTGCCCAATGGAGTTAAGTCAGCTGGCGACCTGTTTCAAGTGGTGTCCCCACTGGGGCCTATCTTGTTTAATATCTTTATTGATGACCTAGACGAGGGGATTGAGTGTACCCTCAGTAAGTTTGCAGATGACACCAAGCTGGGAGGTGGTGTGGATCTGCCTGAGGGTAGGGAGGCCCTTCAGAGGGACTTAGATAAGCTGGATTGCTGGGCTGAAGTGAATGGAATGAGGTTCAACAAGGCCAAGTGCTGGGTCATGTGCTTTGGCCACAACAACCCCATACAGCGTTATAGGCTTGGGGACAAGTGGCTGGATGATTGTGAAGAGGAAAGGGACCTGGGGGTGTTGGTTGATGCCCGGCTGAACGTGAGCTGACTGTGTGCCCAGGTGGCCAAAAAGGCCGGCGCCGTCCTGGCCTGCATTAGAAATAGCATGGCCAGCAGGAGCAGGGAGGTGATCATCTCCCTGTACTCAGCACTGGTGAGGCCATACCTTGAGTACTGTGTTCAGTTTTGGGCCTGTCACTACAAAAAAGACATTGAGGCCCTGGAACATGCCCAGAGAAGGGCAATGAAACTGGTGAGGGGTCTGGAGCACAAGTCCTATGAGGAGCGGCTGAGGGAGCTGGGATTGTTTAGTTTGGAGAAGAGGAGGCTTAGGGGAGACCTCATTGCACTCTACAACTTCCTGAAGGGAGGTTGTGGTGAAGAGGGGTTTGGCCTCTTCTCCCAGGCAATGAACAGGATCCGGGGAAATGGCTGCAAGTTGTACCAGAAGAGGTTTAGGTTAGACTTAAGGAAGAACTTCCTCTCTCAGAGAGTGGTCAGGCACTGGAATGGCCTGCCAAGGGAGGTGGTGGAGTCACCATCCCTGGCAGTGTTCAAGAGGCGTCTGGACAAAGAGCTGCGAGATATGGTTTAGTAGCTTGTGGTAGCAGTGGTAGTGTGAAGACGGTTGGACTAGATGATCTTATAGGTCATTTCCAACCGTGATTCTATGATTCTATGATTCTATGAACTTCAGCAATAATCTGCAGCATTTGAATCAGTTAATTTTTTTTTCTGTTTGTCATGTTATTTACATGTCAGACCTGGCTTGTGAACAATGTTATTGTCTAAAATCACATCTGAATCAAAACCAAATGCATACACTCTTGCTCAAATGAAAAATAGTTACCAGAAGAGCACCAACTGTCTGAAATACACGCATTCATGAAGTGAAAGATGACTCACGGAAGGGGTCACTGTAAAGCAATATTATTTGTGTTTCTTATGAAAACCTGGTGCTCTAATGCCATGCAACAGCATCATTCACAAGGGAATAAGAGCTTGTGGGCATATGAATAAGGAGTGTTGTACAATTACAGAGACACCTGTGCTAAATAACCTTGTGCTCATCCCCTAGGAAAATCTGCATGCTCAACAGCCCTGAAATTTCTCATGTGTATATTAAGCTGCAGTATGAAAACGTGGTGTATAATACAGGCTAAGAATACTCTTCAAGGGCATATATATAAAACCTGTGGTTTCAGTTCTGTCTCTTTTTTCTAAAAAGCTACTTGCAGTATTAACATATATTTTACTTTTCAGAACTTACTCAGAACATTCAGAGACCTCTCTCCACATGAAGAAGTATTGACTTTCACTATACAAGCCCAGCATCTTGCCCTCATGGAAACGCTAGCCTTATACTGGCAAGGGCCTGACAATCTCTTAGTGTAAACCACCACATCTGCATCTGTGAACTAGTCAAAATGAGCTGATTTCCAACAGCTGAAGGTTCAGCCCATTCATAGGCTTAGACCGTCCAAAGTATGTCAGAACCATGGGGATGTTGGTACTGCACCTTCGGAGAAAAGAGGTGTTTTTTATCTCCTAATTTTTCAGTCTCCTGCATTCTGCAAAGCTACCTGACAGAATGAGTAATGCTGCAGAGCGGTTACTGGCAGCCCCCAAGGCAAAAGGCATTTGATTAGGGATCTGACATCTTTCAGACACTCATGTATCATCTCAGAGATGCGGATATTTCAGTCTCAAGTTGCTTAGCCCTAGCAATTAGCTCAGCATGCGCTTGCACAAATTCCAGCACACACACAAAGACTGGGTTGCAGATTTCTCTTTAACAGTGCAGACACGGCATGGTTGGATGCCAAATTAAAGCATACAGAGCATCCTTCATGGGTCACTGTTTGGGTTAGAGTATCTTATAGATCTCCCACTGGCTATGAGTTGTTCTATTTAAGCACAGGATATTGCTTATAGGGATGATCATTTATAAAGGCAGGGCTTCCTAAAAACTATCGACCTGTGTCTGTTCTGTTGCAACCAAAGAATAAGCATCCCCAAAATATACAGAAAGTGCAGAAGCAGATTTTCTGTCCTAACTACAACAGATCAGCTTAACAGATAACAGTCATCTGCATTCACTTCCAGCCCACATTTTCCCCTCTTTCCTCCTCTAAGATGGAGTACCTTGAAATTTATTCTTGCATTTGCTATACAGAAGAGACATAAAGGGAAGGGACTTGTAAGTCCATAATGAAAACACAGGACATCAGAGAACATCAGCTTTATAGTCCTTAGCACTGGATCAGACAAGTTAGTGAGAAAAAGATAAGGTCAGTAAATTCACCCTGCTGGCAGGGCAGAACACGATCTCTTGACTGTTGGAAACCTTTATACAGAGGTTTCCAAGTACTACTATACCAGACTCTGTGAATGATGTAATCACAGTAAGTCAGGATTTCCCAGCTGATCCATGTGCATGGCTGCAGAAGGGCTGAATTTTCAGTGTCACATTGTGGGTACCTGCTCTGGAGTGCAATGTGGTCCCGGACCAGGAAGAGCAATGTTAGTGACAGCTCTCAAATCTAATGACAAGGGAGGGTCAGTTCTGTGTTTGGGAAGTAAGAGAAAGACAAGAGGTCTTTTGTCTGTAAAGCTGTCCCTATAAAGCTGCTCTGTGATTGAGAAACGTCCCTGTTTATAGCTTCAAGTAGGGATCTGGGTCTTTGTGTGGAGTTTCTCCACTCTATATGTCACTGCTATCCACGTTGGAAGAGATACATTAATTATCAAAAGCAACACAGATACTGTGGTTTCACTGCCATGCTGTGGATCATGGGCACAGGTGATTCTACAGGGATAACTGTGAAAATTTATCACTGGACTATCAGGATGACTGCTGGAGCAATGCTTTCACTCATTTTGGAGAAGGAGTTGTTAAGAAACCTGAATTCTCCCTATGCTGCTTTCAGTGGCGCACTACTTTCCAGTATTATAAACAAAAATGCCATGGCACTTAGAGGATGAACAAACCTTAAGCAGCCACCTTTACCAGTATTAGATGCTATTAAAAAATAGCATCTGAAAGTAATTAGCAATCTTTGAAGCAAAGTCTCAAGTTGAAAATGGAGCAGGTCATGCCAATTTGATAGATAGGCAGATGTCTATTTCCTGTGAATTTCATGAACATTCCTGCTGTTATCTGAAGCCAAAAATTCCAAGAAGGCTATCACCTTCCGCAGGGAATCAGAAGAGAACTGCAATTTAGATGTTCACTTTTCAATGGTCACAGACCAAGGAAATGCTTGAATAGTTCATCTACTGTCGTAGCAGTTTGGCTTGCCTATACAGAAAATACATCCTGTAAAAGCACCTCTTTTACTTACTTCTCTCCCACAGTGTAAGTCAAATACACAGCTTTTATAAGGAACAGAAAGGCAACATATTGCTGAGATAATAGTAAAACTGTAATGACTTTGCACTTAGAGCAAACTAAGGGGAGGACTATATAGCTTATTTGGCAGTTTTTCTATCTTCACTTCCATTAAAAAAAAAAAAAAAAGATTGTGGGAGGAGAAATTTGAAGTGTAGGCGTAAATAACCAATCTGTATTCTGTTTGGAAAGTACAAGCAGATAAGTTTTGTAGTTTTTCTTATCTGTGTGTGTGTGTTTATGTAAGATTTGTAAGAAGGAAAAAGCGTACTTCTCTTCTTGTTCTAACAAGCAGCCTCTTTACTGTGCTACACTAGCAAAATAAAGCTTTCATAAAATACAAGGATGAGAAAACCTACGATCACACCACTTTCTCAGTAAGACTTTTAATCTTGCTGTAATTTCCAGCTGAAAGTCAGCACATGTCCTGATATGCATCTGCATGTGTGCACAGCCAGGGTCTGTAGGACTCAAAAAACCTCATTTGCTGATCTTTCCCATGTCCTGTGCCCCAGTGGGTTCTAGTCATAGAATCATAGAATCACCAAGGCTGGAAAAGACCTCGAAGGCCATCGAGTCCAACCACTCACCTACCACCAATATTTCCCCACTAAACAACATCCATTAATACCACATGTACGTGTTTCTTGAATGTACTCTTCTCTCTGCTCACATGCATACTACTGACAACAATAAAAATACACACAATTCAATTTTGGTTTTTTCACCATCTTAGTTTTTATTTCTAGGGATTGTATGAAACAGCTTGATAATAGTTCAATGTGTCTCTCTCCTATATATATAATTCTGAAGTACTTATTGTAAGCCATCCACTTCATAAGACTTTTCTAACTACAGACTTCCAACTTTGATGAAAAGTTTCCTAATAAATTCTGCAGGGAAAATCTTATATCACACTGCTTCTTAGAAAGGACATCCCACCCAAGAAGTAACACAGTGTTATTCTGTATGCTGCCTGCTCAAATACTAATCATTTTCTCTGACTTCTCATAGATGAGGTTATTAGGAAATTCCTGCCTTACTACTTGAGCAGTAGTACCTTTCTATTAAAACTTAATATGATTTTTGAGTTTGAAATTTGGTGTATTTTAGGCAGATACTGCCTCTCAGGTAGACCTTACATTTTGGAAGTTTAGCCATTCCAGCAAATGATAATAATAATGGAGACTAAATTAGTTTTATGTTCTTTAGTTCTAATTAAAGCATTATAACATTTTTGCCTGTGTAGCCAGTATAACTTCAGAGCACCAGGAGAGCTAGGGAAATACACCTGATAGGGTTGTTGAGGAAAAAAAAAAAAGGAAGAAACATGCTAAAGATAAAATTGTCAGAATCATTGAATCATAGAATGGCTTGAGTTGAAAAAGACCACAATGATCATCCAGTTCCAATCCCCTTCTGTGTGCAGGGTTGCCAACTACCAGACCAGGCTGCCCAGAGCCACATCCAGCCTGGCTTTGAATGCCTCCAGGGATGCGGCATCCACAACCTCCTTTGGCAACCTTTCCAGTGCTTCACCACTCTGTATGTGGAAAAGTTGCTCTGAATATCTAACCTAAACCTCCCCTGTCTCAGTTTAAAACTATTTCCCCTTTGTCCTATCACTATCTACCCTCATAAACAGCCGTTCCCTCTCCTGTTTATAGCTCCCTTGGAAGACTTCTGCACGAATTGTCAAGGAAGTTCACATTTCTAACAAGCTTGACAGAAAAACAATTTACTTCTATTCATTTCCAAACTTTTGGTAAATACATCAATATATACCTTTGGCCATGTGAGGAATTCTCAGTTTTGAAGAGAGATAATCGAACACTTCCAGACAAAGCAAAAATCTAAAGTTTACTGAGAGATGATGCAACGAGAACCAGTTTCAGAATCATTTTCCAGAACAGCCCAATTTTTGTAAGCCAAAAAATATAGAACAACCCTGACTGTGAGGAGGCCATAAGGCTTCCAGCTTTCTCTATATGCACAAGGCCAAGCTTTGACCTGGGGAGAAAATGGGATGTATTTTCACTTGAGACATCCATTCCCAAAACTTCCAGCAACTGAGTTTAATTGTCAGATAATAACACGCTCCACTTTCTACTCACTGAACTGTAACTGAGGATATCTATTATCTGTTCTTTGGATGTGTTGCATTTTTTGAGAGAGATTAAAAGCTCTATGGTATTGCCAAATCAAACCCGTATCCTCTCTTCTGCAAGCCAACAGGCACGTGTAAAATGTATGAACATAGAAACACCACCTGCTTCTATAAGCCCCCAAAAATGAGCTGACATAGAATCATGGTGAGTCTGCAGCCTTACTCGGGCTGCAGAGCAGCATGCCAGCTGTGCTACCATGCAGCAGTCAGGGCTATGAAGAGGGAACTGTTCTCTTGCAGTTCCTTCCATAAGTGCAAGTCTCACTTAGGAGATGGCGCATGCAAAACTTCAGAAAGTAAGAGAAAATAAAGCTTGTCAACTTTACTAAGTAGAGGACATAACCTTTCTGAAACTTTTCTTATTTGATGGGGAAGGAGTTGAAAACACTACTTACTGAATATTAAGACTGCCTGGTCAGGCTTACAGAACATTCTGATTAAGGAGAAAATGCTGATTCATTTCCATTATCTGTCAGGGTTATTATTTCCAGGGACTGGTTTATGACACAGCTGGCACCAATGCTCACAACCATATACAACACATCAGCACAATGGCTGCATCATTTTGACTGGCCCTGGCTTGAATTATAGTAATGCTTGCTGGCATGGTCTAGTTACAGGAAGATTGTGTCAGCAATTCTACCTCTGCATAAACCCATTTGTTTAGCGGATTATAGTAACTCAGCTGTAAACATTATTCTGGGGTTGAATTATTACTATTACCAGAAGTAATAATAATAAAATCTTACATTTATATTGTGCCTTTCCACCATGCTTATCCCCAGTCACTTCAGAGGATGCACAGAAAGTATCTAACTTTACCAGCCCCCAGCACTGGTGCTTTTTGGGTTAAAACAGAACAGGCAGTCTGAATGAACAACAGAGATATTTCATGGGGAAGAAGTCACGCTTAACACTTCCTCATCAGTAAGAAGCCAAGTGCATTTATCTGCATGCCTATTCCTCCATGATTACACATAAATATGCACCAAGCACAAGATTGCATATGATCAATTCCTAATCATGAGTGCCTCTTAATTTATGCTAATGTAAAAAAAATTATATAGGATGTGATGGATCAAGGTTTATGTGCTTAACAAGACCTGTATTGCCAACAATTACCATCTTAAGGGTAAGTGAAAATTCAGTGCTTGAAATTTAAATGAGAAATACTCATTTACCTTCCTGAATGGATAGTCAGAAGCCCAGTGGATATGTAAAGGAGACTTAATCCAGTCTGTCTGAGGGAGCAGAAGACTCTGGGATCAAAGAAGCATCTGTGCTACTGTGCCTCTGGGCAGCCTGGTCTGGTGCTTGGCAACCGTGCACACAACAGAGGGCTTGAAACCAGATGATCATAGTGGTCCTTTTCAACCCAGGCCATTCTATGATTCTATGATTCTATGATTCTATGATGATTCTACGAAGACAATTTATGTCCTTTCTGAAAAAGGCCAAAGTACAGGATATCTTATATTTTGGCTGGCTGGGAAAAGCTGAGTTCTAGTGAACACAGTGGACAAAGCTTGACTTTTGTAAGCTGGGAAAGAAGACAAGACTAGCAGCAAAACAGTTCTGTCAGGAAAGATTGTTCCAGTATGTTGTTTTAGGGCTGTTCAAAGAAAGGGAGAGATTCCACCTTCTCCAGGTATGCCATCATGCCTAGGCTCTGCAACGGGGAAAATACAACAAAATGACCATTCTCTTGCTGTATTCCTGAAGCAGAGCAGAGATAGGTAGGCTAAAGTCATCCTCTCCTGCCTAAGACATCAACCATGTACTGATCCACAGGGTTCAGTATTTTCTTTTCATTTATTAAAATAACGAGAGAAGATTCAGGAGATAGAACTGATACTCATCTAACGTGATTCCTCCATTCTAAAAACTTATGGGCAGCATTTCGTGGCCAGTGATAATTATGAGATTAAACTAGATAACACACTACAAATCCTTCTGGACTTGAGCTGCATTATTTGATTTGAAAACCAAATGCAAACCCACTGACTGCTGTAGCATCTGATGCAGACACACAAATTCTTTGCTGCATCATAGTCAATGTTTAAACCCACTGTTAACATAAAGTTCAAATTACTCCCTGATTTAAAAGGTTGTGTGGTTTCAGATTCAAACTGAAATTATTCTTAGCAGAATAATCACATGAAAGAAGGGGAGCGAAGGCATTTGGTAATGCAGCTGCTACATTCCCATACTGCACTCACTGATATTGCATTGATAGACCTTTCTGAACACATCACAGCTCAGAAAAAGCAGCGCCTTCATAAGCTCTCAGAAGTGTCAAAGTTATCATCTTTAACTAGATGAAGAGAAGAAATACTCTTCTGCAGCACCTCTGCCTGAAATGACATTTCCTAGACTTGGATTTGTTTTAAGCCATAGTGAGAGTTGCTTCAGCTCACAAGTACCTCTGTACAGAAGAATGCTGCAGTCATGCTGAGGATAGCGTTTCCTTCTAGAGGGTATTCTGTTGCAGCTATGAACACCCAGCAGTCCTTACCTTCTGTCTCACTCTCCATAGCTGTAGGAATCCACAAGGAACTGGCCAGAACAACTTCACTGAAATCTCTTTGAAGAACACTTGTCACCTCACTCAACAATCAACTATCCCTTTTATCCCTTACTGTTCTTTTATCCCATATCCAAATATCACTCTTAAATGCTCCCACAAATGGGAGGCTTAGCAGCCATGGAGACCTGACCACTGGATCTGACTGGAATGCCCTTATGTTAGGCAAAAGATGACTGCAAGATATAGGTAAAATGCTGGAGTTATCATATTCTTTTTTTTTTTCCTCTTTTTTTTTTTTTTTTTGGTTTCTTTTTCCTCTTTTTTTTTTTTTTTTCTTTATTTTTTTCCTTTGGACAGTTAATATACACAAGTTAAATTTTGGCCCCCTCTTTCTTCTCCATTTACTTCCCTAGGTTCACAGTAATCCTATCTTGTAAACTGGAATTATGCTTAGATTCCTAAGTACAGGAAATTTTATTACAATTAAAGCATGTCTGAAATACACCTGCGATCAGAATTCTGATAAATGAAAATGGAATTTTGTGTCTCTTTTTTAAAGTAGATTTCATCAGACAACCCACAGTCATCAGACAAACAAATTCTGATTTTATAGTTCCTGTTTTAGGCAGCAAACTCCTTCTGGATTCCTCTTCTAGAATAGTGGAAGTATTCGCTCCCTACTTGGAAAGTAATGTGCAGGGTCTCTTACCAGCAGACAGAGAGGAAGCTTGCCAGCCTCAGGCACTTGTGTTTCCTCTGTCACACACCAGTGTCCCCAGCCCACCACCATGTCCCAGTTTCAGTGCATTGGCCCTGGCACTCAAGCTAATGAACTGTATTGCCGATAGTTATGATGCTAGTGCCATTGTATGCCTGCGTTTGGTTGGTGGCAAATAACCTAGCTATTATTTGCACATCTGTTGAATAATATTACGTTAAGACATTACATGCACAATTATGTTCAATTATATTAAATGAATCTATTTCACGTAATGCTGAATCTCCAGGGCTTGTGCATCTTTAGTTACAGGAAGTTTAGTGCAAGGTAGCAGATGTTACTGGCTTTTAATCAGATAATACATTTAAAACACCGAACGCATAACAATAATTTCAAAACAGATATCTACTTGGGGCAGATAAATAAAAATCACCTTTTTTTTTTTTTTTTTTTTTTGCTTTTGTATTCAGCAGAGAAGTTTGCCAAATTTGGCACACCAGCAGCTACTCTTGGATGCATGCATGTATGCAGCAGCACACATCTCAGGCTGCAGACAAGTAAGCAATATTTCTTTCTGCTTTTGTTTCAGCCACCCCCCAGCTTGTTCATGACACAATGTGAATGCACCAAGTTTCCCTTCTCCCCTTTCCCTTCAAGAGCTAGCTTACCTATTGGACCTTTTTCCTCTGTGTGAAGCTCTCATGTCATGCGTTTTCTCGCAATCATCTTCTTTTGCCCCAAAAGTTGTTTTTGAGGGATGTATGTTCAGACTGCAGTGAATAACGATACTCCTTTAGGGATTACTCCTAGAAGGTACTTAACACTACTGCTTCATCAGCCACTGCAGATGCACAGCAGCGTATTTCACAATTAATTTTTCTATGACATCCACTAGAAGCTTCTGTCACTACCCAGCCGAATGCATCTACAGTTCTTGCCAGACCTGTGAGGTATTTATCCCTTGGTTTTCCTTCTGAATCCCATGCAGGAGAGAATGGCCATGCTGAAGTTTGTATTTCTGTCCAGTCAAAAGAAGACTTGGAATGGACATGTTTATATTCACTTTCCCACCCAATTCTGCAAAAAGTATTTATGAATAGAGTGTCTGTGTGGAAGTCAAAACAGCTATTTTGCAGGAAAACAGTGGCTTTTATGGACAGAGATTTATGGCCATTAAACAGCATGATGGAGATGTATGGCCTTTGCCCCCTAAGGGCTGTAGGAAGCCCCTGTGGGAGGCAGGGCATCCTCTGTGAGACTGGAGATAATGGAAACATGCCCAAGTCAGACCCCTTTAGCCTCTAATGGATCAAAAATAGATGAAATTGAAAATTCAGACCCTCATCCCTCACCCCCCACAAACAAGCAATAATCCAGTGCATAATAAATGCCTAAGTCACAGGAGATGAAAAATAGAGTACCTTTCTCACTGTTCTGAAAGAAATCCTCTATTTCACAGCCAAAAATACTGAAGAAAGAGGAGATGCCAAAGGTAGACTTGTCTTGTTCTATCAGTGGCAGAGAAAAAGAGTTTCTTCTGAGAGTGCTGGTGCCAAGCAGAGCTTTGCAAGGTGTAATGTACTCTCGCCAGGTGCTTTCTGCCACATGCCTATTTGCCATACTCATGGGAATCACAGAATCATAGAAATGATTCTGGGTTGAATAGAACAATAATGATCATCCAGTTCCAACCTCCTTCAGTGTGCAGGGTCGCCAACCACCAGGCCAGGCTGCCCAGAGCCACATCCAGCCTGGCCTTGAATGCCTGCAGGGATGGGGCATCCACAAACTCCTTGGGCAACCCGTTCGCATCACCACCCTCTGTGTGAAAAACTTCCTCCAAATATCCAACCTAAACCTTCCCTGTCTCAGTTTAAAACCATTCCTCCTTGTCCTGTTGCTATCGACCCTTGTAAACAGCCATTCCCCCTCTTGTTTATACTCTCCCTTCAAGTATTGGAAGGCCACAATGAGGTCTCCCTGGAGCCTTCTCTTCTCCAAGCTAAACAAGCCCAGTTCCCTCAACCTTTCCTCATAGGAGAGGTGCTTCAGCCCTCTGATCATCTTAGTGGCCCTGCTCTGGACCCGCTCCAAGAGCTCCATGCCTTCCTGTACTGGAGGCTCCAGGCCTGGACACAGTACTGCAGATGGGGCCCCACAAGAGCTGAGTAGAGGGGGACAATCACCTCCCTCTCCCTGCTGGCCACCCCTTTTTTAATGCAGCCCAGAACACAGTTGGCCTTTCGGGCTGCAAGCACACACTCCTGGCCCATGTCCAGCTTCTTGTCCACCAGGATCTCCAAGTCCTTCTCTGCAGGGCTGCTCTCAAGAAGATCTTCCCCCAGTTTGTATAAATATCTGGGATTGCCTTGACCCAAGTGAAAGACAGGGGGGAGACAGACCAGTGACCTAGAGTTTTCATGATGACAAACGGAAGTGCATTCTCTTGCCTCCAGAACTTTACAAGCACCGACTAGAGCTCAGAGCTGACTTGCCAGCTTGTTAAGAAAAAGCAAAGGCCAGTTATACAAAGACCTCTGTTGTTGCATTGTTAATGCATTTTGATGAGAATGGATTGTTCTCATCAGCAGTAAAATTCTTCAGCTGTAAGTTGCCACCTGAGTCTTTAGGAGCAAGGTACTTATGCAACATTTTCATGAGGGCTAAAAATGTTTGGAGTCTTGTGCTGCGCTTGTTAAATGAGTAATTAACCCTGGAATTCACTGGAAAGAATAATTAAGTGGTGTTCTCCAGCTTTGTCTTTACACTGTGGGAGCACGTTTCATTCAGGTGACTCTGCCAGTTTGCACCAGATTGCAGCAATTTATATTGGGAGGAACAAGACTTTTCTGTGCATGAATGCAGTGCTGATCTCCCTCTGCAACACGAACAATTCTAAGTTTAAATTGAATCATTGCTGGGAAGAAGATGGAGAAAAGTTAGTTCCTTCATTTGAAATTAGTGTGGAGACATTTACCTTAGGGAGGTACGTGAAAGACTTGAGATTCTTCCCACTCATATGGGAAACTGTGCTCTGCCTCACTGACCTATTGCTCAGCAAAGCCTGGG